CAAATGAAAATCAGGACAGAAACTTAAGAAATCTTCAAATGCAAAGAAAGTTTCACCGCTGAGTGCCTAGATACAAGTTAGAAAAGCAGACATCTGCATGAGTGCAGCACCGACCATTTAAACTGTTGTTGTGTTATTGTTAATGATGACACACCCTCTTACAGCGCAAAATCTGAGGAAAGCGCTCAGAGAAGTGTCTGCAAACAGTTTAACTTCATTATCAGATTGAAAGTGATTTTAAGTGATCCGCCTGAACACTTAAAAGAAGATATTTCTAAAAAAAAAACACTTCCGCTGTCTGGGTCTGGATGTGTGTGTGTGTGTGTGTGTGTGTGTGTCTGGATGTGTAAATGTTATTAATAATGCTCCATAAATGCTGTTATGTGTCTGCATCAGTGGTTCAGGTTTCAGTTTTAATGTGAGGACGTCAGCAGTCTGGACTCACAGCTCTCCTCTCTCCGCTGGATCGTCTTTCAGGGTTTGCAGAAAGACCCTCACATCACACACACACAAACACACACACACGTGCGCGCATCAGGACTCTTTTTCCAGGAATACTGCCGCTCTTCTTCCTGCTCCTGTGGTCATCCGAGCCGTCTGAGAGGACTCTTAGAGGAATCAGACAGACAGGGAACGCACAGGGACCGGAAGCTTCTGGACCAATCAGGCTGCGGCGTTTCTCCACTTCTAATAATTCTGCGTGATTTTATTTCTATGTTCAGTTTTAAGTTCAGGACTGTGCCGTCTCCTGAACACACACACCTCTGTACTCAGAAACAGGAGCAGATCAGCTGAGGTCGGAGCTGACTCTGAAATTCCACTCCTGACTTCAGACACCGCACAGACCGGGCTGAGCCGGCCTGGAGGTCATGACCCCACAGGAGGAGTGTAGTCCAAAGAGCAGAGACACCACGAGGTGGAAACTTGAAGATGAAACCATGATCGCCAAAAAGAGCAAAGATGGCGCAAGAACTTCCAGGAGAAACGAGCGGGAACCAGGATGACCAAGATTTTAAAACTGTTATTGATTCTGTTCGATGATTTCTGAGGGGAAAAAAACGGTCACTCAAACGCAGTAAGAGGATTTTACATGAAGATGGGACGTGATACAGGTCTAACATAAACATACGACCCGACACGGACCACAGCAGTCATCTTCTGTCTCACTTTCTCACCTCCTCATTGGTCGTTCAAGCCGACCGTCTCTCACATCGCAGCGAATACAACGATGCAAATTCAGAAACACAAACTCAGAAAAAACATGCAAAGAAAAATCTGCAAATCAAAACACGACACATCGGCTACGTTCACACTGCAGGTTCTGACGTACAATTCAGATTTTTTGCTAAATCCGATCTTTTTGTGCGGTTGTTCACATCACAACAACGAATGCGGCATCTAATGTGAACGGAATGTGTCCGTGAAGTGACCCGCACGTGCACAAATCTGACCTGCTGAGCCTCACAGACTCTGGATCGATACTTTGACTTTACAGTTTGGGATGATTCAGGTCGGTTTAAGCTGTAAACTATATTTAAACAAAATGAACATTTTAATAAAAGGGAAACAAACCTGAGATATAATATTTACGTTGATAGTCTTTCACCGTCTCGGAGTGATGCGTTCAGGGCAGCCTCAGATAAAAGAGCGCTGTATTTCACACACTATTATCTTTTTATTATTTCCATTTGTTGTTGTTAAAACAAAACAAAAAAGTGTGCAGCCTTACTTCTACTTATTTGGATGACTCTCATAATTCGCTCATATCCACCATACAAGGTAAAAACAAAACTGCCCGGCGTGCGCCACAATAATCTCCCGGATTTTATGACCCAAATGTTGGCAGGCATGCGGCCAACCCTTCCACAGTCCTCTCCTCTTTGAGCCAAACTACTTCAGAGAATCTGGGGGAAAGCTCCTGAAAATTTAGGGACGTTTTCCCTCGTGCATGTGTGACAAATCCCGGATACTAGCCACAGCACAGGCTTCTACTCTCTCTACTTCTATCCTCTCTATCTTGAGTGTCTGAACTTCTACATGAGCAAACACTGAGGAGACTCTAACCACCTCTGACCACCAAATCAAAAACCGTAAACAAAACCACTTCAAAAAGGACCAAAACTAACTGAATTATCATGGAGTTACACCCTGTCCTCATGTTCAGTACAGACTGGAGCTGGGACTCCCTGTCCTGGTCTCCTCACTCCTCAGACGTGAGGCCGTGTGGGCGTCATTTAATCTTCTTCTTGTCCCGGTCTGTTCCTGCAGGCTTCCTGCCCACTCGCTCTCCTTTCAGACCCTCACTGATCATTAACCTCCCTCCTTGTAGCTCGCCCACGCCACTCGTCCTAATTCTGTCCCGGCGGTGGGACGGCGGTGCTTCTGCTGTCAGAGCCTTCACAGAGGATCAGGAGGGGAGAAATTAATGACGAGTTGATTGGAGGCATGAAGAGGAGCGTCACTGTTTCAACTTCTTTAACCCTGGAGGTAAAAACTAAACGATATCGGAGTCTCCAGATGAATAAAAACTCAAACTAAACAAAGAAACAATCAGATCTGAGGGGAAGAAGTCGAATCCTGTGCTTTTTTTCAGGTCTTTGTTTTCCTCACATTCACACAGAGAGTACTTTGTGTTGTCGCTGAGCTTCCTGCAGGGTTTGTCCCTCCAGAAGGCCTCCTGTCTGCCTTAACCTCATTTCTATAATAGATCAGCTCATTCATTCAATTAGCAAACACACACTCACACACTCACACACACATGTGCACGGTTAGCCATCAGAAATCTTTGGCTCTCTTGATCCGATTGTTGAAAATGATTCCCAAAAGTCTGCAGGATCGATGAAAACCTTCAGATCTATTCAAAGGTTTGATTCAGGCGGAGAGGGAAACGTGCAAAGAGGAGATACGCTCCTCCGATCAATGATGTTTGTGGTGATGGTCAGAGCGGAGGGAGGAGAAGAAGAGGGGGACACATCTGTGATAAAGGGAAGGAGAATTTACTGCATAAATGACTAATCTGTCTGTGTAATTTATCAGATTAAAATCCACAAATGATCTTTAAATAATAATCTGATAAATAACTGGATCCATAACCAAATCCTCTGAACCTTCTTCTCTATTTTTGTTTCTTCTCCACGTACAGCACACTTGTTGCCTCTGGTTGTCTGTGTGTTTTGTGTCGTTTCTTCCTTCCCTCTGGATATTTCACACTGAGAGGCTAAAGATGGATCTCCAACTTCAACAACTCTGGGAGGAAAGTTACTCCTGCAGCTCTCTGCACATGCTCAGACTTCAGAGGACGCACTCAATGAGGAAAGTTCTGGAAGCATGAAAGAAAGTGGGCACTAACGGAGCTCAGTCAGGTTTACAGGCGCTCCACATACAGAGGAGAAGTCCTGATTGGATCACTTTAAACCTCCATGTCGTCCTCGCTCTCCTCTCTTCTTCTACAAAACCTTATTTCAGCATTTTTACTCCTCATTATTCTGTTTTGTCTGGTTTTCTCACATTTGACCGTTTTTATTCTCCTTGTTTGTTTTTGCACCAAAACCTGATTGACAATAAACTAATAAATTCTGATTTATTTAACTAATATTTGTTAATCGAATTTTCTTCTTTCTCTCTTATGTTTTTACGGTGGAGCTCAGACTAGTGTTCATCATGCTTTAGTATATTTAATGGTTTCTTAATTGAGATTATTTTGTGTACTTTCATATATTTGTTTATCAAATAAAGTCACTGAACCTCTCCGTCTCCTGCAGAAATAGAGAGATCTGTGTGTCGACTGTTAAACAAACTAAAATACTCAGCTTTTGTTTCTCTAATTTATTTAACAATATTTTTGTAAAATAATCCACACCCTCAGATTAACAGGATTGTTGCAGATTTGTTAATCTGTGAAATCTACTTTGAAAACAATCGTCTCTTTAGTCTGCGTTTGGTGCATGAATGATTTTTGCTGTAAATAATAATGACCTGTAAAAGTCCATTTAAAATTCACTCTAAAGTATTTTACTGAGCTGCAAAAGAGTAAATAAATAAACCCTTTCTTCTGTTTTTTTTTTAATATAACCTCTAAAATTGGACATGCAGGAGCGTTACAGCCCTCCCCAGTCTCCCCTACAAACATTAAGGTTTATAATGGTGTTCTAACTGAACTCGTGCTCGTGTAGGGATGAAAATAAAGAGTTTTTAAGCTTTAATAACTAAAGCAGCACAGACGGGGTGAGTGTTGATACTGTATGAGTGTTTCTGTGGGAGCAGCAGGCCTCTCTGTCTCCTCTTTTCTTCTCTCTCTCTCTCCTCTCTGACAGATCCGACCTGATATCAGATTGATGGGCCGCTCTGATTGAAGTCTCTTTGTCGTGCTAATGTCACGGCGAGTGATGGATGAGGCGCGTGCGTCGGGGAACCAACGTGCGTGCGTGCGCGTAAAACTCCACTTCTGAAGCGTGAAACGTGCCCCCCCTCCCCTCCTGTACACACAAACACACACACACACACACACATTCACAAACACACACAATGTGACCGACTCACAAACTTCTGGCCCTCCGGTCACCAGGCGACGTGACGACGGACCACGTGACCCGCGGCAGAGGTAAGAAAAGAAGAAAGAGGAGAGAGGTGAGAGAGAGAGATCGAGGAAAAGAGGACAAGGATGGAGGCCGGAGTCTAACCTGTGTGTTCTCGCGGTGTTTCAGCTGTCACACACACACACTCACAGGTTGAGCTGAGCTATTGACAGGCCTCCAAACACACACACACACACGCGGACACGGACACACACACTCCTGCAGAGCACATCATTCATGAGTGTCGGGTTTGAGGACTCCGCGTCTCTTCCTCTTCTCTCCAAGTTTGTCTTTTTCTACATTTTTGTCTTTTATTTTGAAGGATTTGTTTTTCTGGATCTCACTCCACCCTGTAGAGGATCTTGATGGTGTTTTGAAACTTCCTGCTCCTCCATCTTCAGTCTGAAGCTGACTGACTCCTTCTGCATGGACAACATGAACTCGTTTGTGGAGTACTCCATCTGTAACCGGGCCGGAACCAGCGCGTACTCTGCGCCCAAATCTGGATACCATCACCACCATCACCACCACCTCCATCACCACCCCGTGGAGCAGCACCAGGGCTTCCCGGTGACCTCCGGTGCTTTCCAGACCGGCTCTGCAGCTTCTGTTAACGGGACCAGGACTGACAGCAGCGCGGGTTATACCGGGGACACGCGGCTGTACGGGGGCACCGGGGGGACAGCAGAGACCGGTCAGCATCACCATCAACAGCAGCAGCAGCAGCATCCTCATCCTCATCATCATCACCAACAGCAGCACCAGCAGACTCACAACGGCTACCATCATCATCCTCATCTTCACCAAACCCAAACCGGAATTATGTCTCCGTACAACACCGGGAACTATGCGGGTCAGCCGTGCCAGACCAACTCGGATTACTCTGGAGCAGCAGCGGGAGCAGCGGGCCCCCAGTACTTCATGGAGGAGTCTGCGGCCTCCACCTACTATCATCAATCATCCTTCCCCAGCGCGGCCCCCACAGTCGGGCCCAGCTACGGGGCCCTGGCCGGGGCCTACTGCGGGCCTCAGGGCGCTCTGGCCGGGTCTCAGTACCCGCAACAAATCGGTGGGAGTCTGGACGCGTCGGGGTACCTGGGGATTCCGCACGGGGGAGGATACGGGGAGCTACCGGCATCCCAGGACCGAGAGAGGGGGGACGAGGAGGGTCAGCAGGCCGGGCAGGGGCAGACCTTCGACTGGATGAAGGTGAAGAGGAACCCGCCGAAAACAGGTGAGGAGGAGAAGGAGGAAGAGGAGGAGGAGGAGGAAGAGGAGGATGTATGAGCTCTTATCTGCTCTGAAGTCCAAATAATTTTACTCGTTTGGATCTTTAATTTTGAAGCTGTGTCTCTTCTTTTGTTCTTCAGCTGCTCGTTTTAAAAAAAGACGATTTGAAGGATAAAGAGAAATTTTAGTCTGTGTGGGAAAAAAGAATTTTTGAGATTTTGTCTAATAATATCTGATAATAACTGATAAATATTTACATCCAAAGATTCAGGTGTTTCTGACTTCAGGCCCTCACAGTTTCTGTCTTTTCTGATGTTCATGCTCAGTTTTAATCACTCATGTCTGAATCAGTTTAACTAAAATTACTCAGGAGGAGGAGGACGAATAAAAACATTATTACATTTATTAAATAAACATTCATTTAGAAGCTTTAATAATGTTTGTTTTAGATCTGTATCAGGCATGAGGACGAAAGGCCCTTCATTAAAAATAAGAGAATAATTTAATTGTTCCTTTCATCAAAATCTAAAATATCTAAAATAATTATGGAGACATTTTAGTTTTTGAACATCTAATAAATGTTTAACCTTTGGGAAATGATCTTTTTTTAGTTGATAATGGAGAGAAAATGAAAATAAATGTGTTTTTGTGACTCATTCAGTCTGCACTCATATCTTTGGACTGATAGCAGCTCTGGTTTGGGTCCAGACGTCTCTCTCTCTTTGTGTGTGTGAGTGTGTGTGTTAATGGATATAACAGACGGGTTATTTCAGCCTGGAAAGTCTGCCCAGCTCTGTTATCTTTTAAAACACCCCCCACCACCAACCCAGACCCTCCATGACACCCCCCTCTCCCTCCCCAGCCTCTGCAGCCGTCCTGCTCTTTGTTCACCGGGGTTTTCCCATTTCCAGGACTCGTTGTTTCTCTTTTTATTAAGTTATGATGATTTTTTTTGTGCTAAAATTCAGATTCATGGTGCGTAAATTGGAGATGAATTGTTAAACTTGTTCCAGCTGTGATCACAAAGGCCTGAAACAACCTACAGCCTGGATTAAAAGATTTTAACATGATAAAATTAATCTGTCAAATTAAAAAATAATCAATAATAATATAAAGTCTCTTCAGTCTAAAACAAAAAGTCTTCTACATCGTGATTAACCGTGAAAGTCGTGCGTAAAAATGAACCAGAGGATCTTTTAATTAAATTATTCAGGGGGAACGTTTGTCTTTGTTTTTGTTTCTCTCCTAATTTTACAGGATAAACAGTAACACCAGTTTTTATCTCCTCTCCTCACAGTCAAAGTCTCAGACTTCGGCCTCGCGGGCGCGCACAACAACGCCATGCGCACCAACTTCAGCACGCGGCAGCTGACCGAGCTCGAGAAGGAGTTCCACTTCAGCAAGTACCTGACGCGGGCGCGGCGCGTGGAAATCGCCGCCACGCTCGAGCTCAACGAGACGCAGGTGAAGATCTGGTTCCAGAACCGGCGCATGAAGCAGAAGAAGCGCGAGCGGGAGGGCGCGGGCCCCTCCGCGGCGCGCTCCTCGTCCTCCAACAAGGAGCTGGAGGACACCGATCAGTCCTCCGCGTCCACGTCTCCGGGCGCGTCCCCGAGCCCGGACACGTAGAGTGATGAGATGGACTGAGAGGAGATATTTAAAGCATTCCTTCAAATGAGCTGAGACTACAGACTTTACTCACTACATGTCCCAGAATGCACCTGGAGAACCTTCTTCATCTACACCTCAATCAAACATCTCATTTGGTGTTTCTGATCCACCTCAGAGGCCGATCCTTCAAACACCGACCAGGACCACAAACACCACAGCAGGACACATCAGAACCGAACCCAACAGAGCTCATATATTCTGTTATCTATGAGTCACGGGGCCTAGAGGGGTAAAAGTGTGGATCATGGGGCGCACCCATAAATGATGCTGAATGTTAAATTTGTTTTCCGGTGTTGTCACTTTGGGCTCTTAATGTCCTACAGCGACTAAAAACAGGATTTTCACAAGTGAACTTCTTCAGCCTGAGGTCAAGTCAAGTCTTAAGGCAGCAGAGTAGGAGGAAAATGAAATCAATGAAGTTCAATGAAAAGTTCTTGTTTTTGTCAACGACGGACCGAGACTGTTGTTGAAGTATTTGGAGATATCACTGAAAGGATACACAGACAGCCCATCTCCATTTAAACTAATACAATCACATAAATACAGATCCAGTCCAAGAGACATCAGGGTTTACCCGACCGCTGTGCTTCTACGCGACTTTACAGCATCTACAAAATCACATCTCAAAGTGTGGATATGCAGCTGTTTTTGATAAAGATTATATGACTATATGGCTGCAGAAATCCCAAACTTTCATTCATTAAGAGTTCAAAAGACTGAAACAGGGTCTGGGTCTGAGCACGCTCTGTGCAAACAGGGGAATCAAAGTCATGTATCACTGAGTGTCTTAAGTGTGGACTCAGGGGTTATATTTTTTTTTAACTTTTTAACTTCACTGTCTGGTCTGCAGGGTGATAATGGATTCCTCCTAAGATGATAATGATGGGAAGCACTTTGGTGTCTTATAAGAGGTCTGGATCACAGGGTTTGACTGCTAGAAGGTTATTTATGGATAATAATACGTCATCAGAGCTGATTTTTATATTTTCTCACTCTCAGCAGATCAATTTTTTTGCTCTCAGGACGAAGACAAAAAAACAAAAACAGATTTTTTTTTATTCGAAGGGAAAGTCCACTAACAGATTTCATAACTGAAGATTATGACCATGTCCTGCTGTGAAAATTAAATAACCTGAACTTGTAATAAATGAAGTCAAACAGGGACACTGTTGTCCATTTGTAACCAGCCTTCTGTCCTGAGCCGACTGAGCTCAGTGACCTGAACACAGGGAGCCTATTCAGGCGAAAACACACTTTGATCCTTTCTGATTTTTCCTCTATAAAAACCTTTAATTCCTGTTTGTACTTTAATGTGAAAAAGAAAAAAAAGTGATTTCTTTGTGAATGTTTTGGCGCACATAGCCCTGACCTTTGCACTATGTGACTACAGGGTAATGAAGCAGGAACATTCTGCCTCCTTTAGATTTTATAGCCAATAAAAAAGGCGGATTTGAGGGATTTTGTCTTAAATACGTTAGATAGACTCAGGGCTAAATCTGAATGATGAGAGTGTGTGTGTGTGTGTGTGTGTGTGTGTGTGTGTGTGTGTGTGTGTGTGTGTGTGTGCGTGCGTGTTTGTGTGCAAGAAACTACTGAAAAAGTTTGATCAAAGTGTCTCTTATTTGACTGCCTGTCCCTCCTCCTGTGAGGATAAATTATTGGATGCATTTTGTGTTATTGATTAGAGATAATGAGAGAGTGTATGTGAAGGAGGTGCTGGCCTTATATGGGCGTCCTTTCCTGTTCTTCAAACCCATCACTAGTGAGGGGGTTTTTGGTCCTCCTCTGTGAACTGATGTGACTGTTATTTTGGATCTGTGTAGTTTTTTTTTCATGAGAGCAGACTGACTGAGTTTTATCAGTTCTGCTGCCTTAGAAACACGTCTTCAATCATGTCTGTCTTCTTTTTCTACTCTAAACTACCTCAATTAAAGCTTCTCCTGACAACTCACCGCTCTCATGACTCTTTTTTTATGGTACCCATGATTCTGACAGTAAAATTTTAACAAGCAGCACCTTTTGAGGCTGAAAATTAAAGACAACAGTGCAGTTCCTCCAGTGTCCACTAGGGGCTGTTGCCTAAAGTGCATAAATCTCCGAAGAGTTTAGTGTTAAAATGTCAAACTTAAAAAAAAAAAACATGTTGGGTCTCTGCGGCTCATTTCTCTGTTCATTATCACTCTACAGGATGAATTCAAGAGTTACGGTAATTAGGGGTGTGGTCTCTTTGAGTGACAGGTGGGAGTCACTGAACCTAACCTCATGAACAGCTTTACAGTAAGGGCTTTAAATGCATTTAAATGCAAAAATACAGTTTTTTAAATGTGTTAATTAAAATGGGATTAATCTAAATTAACTGTTAACTGAATTATATGAGGTTGTCCCTATTCGATATTGATGTAGGATATCGGTCCGATATCAGCGAAAAAAAAAATATCGGATTATATCGGCCTGCATCTAAAATCTCTGATATCATCACTCCAAAACAAGCGGACCATTCCAGACTCTGATCCGGCACCTCTATCTAGGGTACCCAGATCCAGCATCCAGAGCCCACATGATCACAACAACAGTGTGTACTACGGTACGAACAAAGTCGAGAGGAGGAGGAGTGATGTCGGCCGTGTGACGTAAAAAGAGACATTGCAGATGAGTGCAAAACTTGTCATGCACAAGTTTGTGCCAATATCAGATCAATATCGGTATCAGCCAATACTGATCTTTACACGGCTAACTTGTCACTGCAGCTCAGTCTAGAAACTGACTGACAGAGTCATAAGATGCAGACGTTCACGTGTTATAAATATCATGTTAACTCTAAAGTTAGCAGTTCACGCCGCGCAGTATGAAGTAGGAAGTGTCAGTTTGTGGTTTTTACACTCAGTCAAACTCTGTTGTCGTTTTATTCTTATGTGAGCAGGAAATAGCAGGAATCGGTGTCCACACTGACGCTGAAGCTCTTTCAGTTTTCATGTTGCAGTGATTTATTTGTGGCGACACGTGCGTGGGAGTCAGGATTGTCGGGTTTCTCTGCAGAGAAGATAACCGGTTATTTTAGGTTTCTGTCCTTCACCTGCTGCTCCCTCCTCCCTCCACCAGAGTCTTCTTCATTCACATAAACTCTCTTCACTTCCTCAGCCTGATAAATAAACAGCTCCACCACAAATAAAACCTCATGCTGTGGGGAAAAAACCAACCACAAATCATCTCGCATGACTTCGCCACCGGCACAGACTGTTCTCATAAATGTGGTCACTCATAGCTCCAGAAAACCAACATGGAGACGAACCCGAGACTTTAAAACGCAAACAGGGAACCAAATGGAGACATTGGTGGTGGTGAGGTCTATTATTCTAACAATCTGAGGAGGAGCGAGGAAAGAGAGTGAGGAGGAAATACTTTCAGAGGAAAAGGGAAAGGTTGTTTCCTCGTCTTAAATTAAAGAGACACAAAGTTAAACACACACACACACACACACACACACACAGACACACACTCACAGCTCCATGCATTTCACTGGTCTTCATGCGTCTCACACTCGGAGCTGCCTGGCCTCTCTTTGACCCTCACACACACGCAGAGCTACAGTGAGGAATGTGGAGGAACTTTCCGGGTGGTTCACTGACCTGCTGACCTTTGGAGAGCCTCTGGGATATCTAAACACGTAAACACACACACCTCTCTCTCTCTCTTTCTCTCTCCTCTCTGCTGCTCTGAAGATGGCTGACCTGGAGCCTGGGTGGCAGCTCCATCATCACCTCATCACACACACTGAACACACACTCCCATCAGATCGTCTTCCACACTCACACCTCATCCTGCAGCACGAGTTGTTTTCTGATGACGTGTTTTCGGTCTTTTTTAACCTGCTCGTCTTCAAGTTTCTGTTTCCAAACACCCGCCAACCAAGAACCCGTGATCCAGACTCTTCTTCTCAGCGCAGAAATGACACTTAGCTTCCAAGAAATTCACCTCAAATGTGTACTTCTGCAAGAAGACACCCGAAAGGTCGGCCTGTGCCTGAAACTCTGCAGTATAGACTTTGTAGGTGTGCTTTTACATGCTGCATGTCCCTTTGGTAACACCAGTCACTACAGCGTGATAACTGATGGAAGTTATAAAGTTTTCAGACAAATAAAAAATACAAAAATATGGAACAAAAACACAAACCCTCCTGAAATCAATCAATTAAATCCGCACAACCCTAGATGTTATTAGAGCGAGCTATCTCAGCAGGTCGTCAGTGTCTCTCTGATAAAAATCATGATTTTTGAACCTGTTTTCTGCGAGTGGGCGTGGTCTCAACAGGAAGAGTTCAGAGGGATGGACGAGTGAACTTTAAAATGATCGGCTACTCGGACACGGTAATCTATCATGTTTTCACTCCAGAGATAAGACCTGAGGGTGAGGGAAGGAAAGAAAGGGAAGGAGGAAGAGGAGAGGGAAGGAAGGGAGGCGAGCGAGGAAGGAGAGAGAGAGAGAGAGAGAGAGAGAGAGAGAGAGACAGAGAGGGAGAGAGAGATTCTTTAAGGGTGACCTCATACGATCTGACCCCAAACTCCTGTTTTCCTTTCCATAACTCATCTCAAGTTCAACACACTCATTGTGTGTGTGTGTGTGTGTGTGTGTGTGTGTGTGTGTGTCCATGCCCTCACAATGAGCGGTTGAAGATAAAGTGGTGTGGCTGCAGTTCAACAGTTCAGAGTCTCAATCAAACAGATGAGGGTGCACACACACACACACACACACACATGCATGCATTCACACAAACACACACACACACGCACACACAATCTTAAAGCAAGATTTTAAAGATCATATAGAGAGAATGTGTGTGTGTTTGTGTGTGTTTGTGTGTGTTTGTGTGTGTCAGGGTCACACAGAGTTCAGCAGCTCTCCTCTCTGCAGCCTGCTGAGCATCATCTCCCCCTTCACCACACACACACACACACACACAC